GCCTTTGTAAGACACAATGATAACAATTATGAGATACACAGCAAGAATCAAATTCACTACAGTTAGTGATGTTCTATGAAAATAAATACCACTTCATAGTGACGTGTTCAAAGTGATATTGCTAAATATAGCTTGGTTTGGCACAGGGCATTAAGTATGAAGCACCCAGTGAAGATTGAATTCCCTACAGGAATAATTCTACTATGGACTTGCTCATTGTCCCAGAGAAATGTACCCAAAGTGATACTAAAGCTTCGATTTGTTTGACATGAGTGAGACACTTGTTAGTATCAAACTCATTAATTTAATTGTCTGCTAATCTATCTTTCTAGCCACTACTTTTACGGTAAGAAAGGTGACTAGCTTAATTTTGGCACATGGAAGGTATGAAAAACGAGTGAAAATCGAACTAACAACAACAGTAGTCTGTGAAACAAATTTAATGGTAACTACTCTGTAGTGAGTTACTTACTGAATTTATTTGCTCATGGGTTGAAATTGCAACGCACAATTAAAAACAGGTCACATCAATAATCAGCACATGCTCTTTCTTGTGTCACACAGGAAAATGAATCGCATTCTTTTAAAACCTTTTTCAAAAGATCCCTTGGATTTTTTTCTTGACATACTTTTAACAAAGCAACAGTTGCTTCTTTAAATGCAAAAACATTTTCAAACAAATAAATAAAAAATAGTAAACATTCAACACTGAGAAACAAAAACTTAATCCAATACTGTTTGTAAACTCAACAGTAAACACTATTTATTAGCAGTGAGTTACTTTTATGTTTACCTCAGTATGAATGAGATTCAACTCTTTTTGAAAATAGTCTTTCTTTACTCTTTACTCACACATTCATTAACAAAAAATGACATCAATAATTTAAATGAAAACCTAGTTTTCTGAATTTAATAATAGTAGTACATTAGTACAATAACAATAGTAATTTAAACTGCCTCTTAGTTATTTTCTTTACCATGCCATTTTGAATTCAAGAAAAGCTTGAAGAATACGTATCTTTACTTTTCAGAAAATGTCAAACAAAATCATTTTTTGGTTCACAAGAACGTTGAATCTTTTTAATCGACAAAGGAAATTTCTTAGAAAATCACTGTTCAAATTATGATCGTTCGTTCGAATAATTTGATCAGTATGACATAAAACTACGCGATCTTACTAGATTTGAGCTGTGCACTCATATAACACACGCACTTGTTCTCTTTCTTTCCAATAGGATGGCGGTGGTGGAGTGGAATAAGCGCCGCCGCCTCCGCCTCCAGCAAGCAAGAACAGCCACTCGCGCCAACTGATCTTTTCTTAAAGTACTCATATCGACTTTTATCTAAATATGGGGACAAAGTTTTCAAAATCATATTTCACTAGAGTACACAGTTTGGTTGAGAGGTTCGTAACGTCAAGCTTCCCTGAGAATGAAGGAGAAATTCGATCACGATATTTAAAAAAAAAAAATCAGTTCGGCTGTGAAAGAAAAAAACAAAAAAAAACTAGCACTTGACTATATAATAAATTACTTTTTTGTTGTTAGTCAAATATTTTTAAAAAATAATTAAGACTTGAAATTACACTGAGTATACGCGGGCAAAATAAAAATAGTGAAATAATCGATCGCTAAAAAAAAGAAAAAAGCTTTATTTCAAAAAAAATATGTGTTTCTTTGCTTTTCAACTGATAGCAGCAACATTGTTGTTACGTGAGGCACAGGCATCTTAGTACATGTGATATTGAGAAGAAGAAGATGAATTAAAAAAAAAAAATAACTATTCGTGGTACTCGCAGGTAACTAATGAAAAATAAACGAGCACAGATTTAAAAAGAAAAACAGGATGAAAAAGTGTTGAATAATAATAATGATAATCGTTCAAAAACCTCTTCACCTTACATTTACAATCATTGTCTTCCTTTTTCACATACGTCTGTCAATTTTTCAGCTTTTCAAACAGAAACAAAAGGTGATTTCTGGAACGTCAAATGACAAAATACAAACGAAGGACAATACAATAAAAAGGGAAAGGTTTCGCTAATTATTAAAAATCATTAATAAGTCTCTTCTTCATTGATTTTTAGTACCCATTTTCTTTTAAGATCTCAGTCAGCAAAAGAAAAACAATTAAGACATTTCCAGCCTAAGTTTTTAAAATTATAAAACTATTTTGCCTTAATGGATTTGAAATATTAAAAAATATAATGAATAAAAAAAATAAAAAATGCAAGTAACTTTTAAGTTCTTTGGGAACAAGCCGAGAATTTTGAACGTGTGGTCGGGGTCGGAATGAACGAAAAAATGTAGAAAAAACAAACAAAAAAAGAATTTAAAAGAAACTTGGATGTTAAATATTTGAATAAAATTAAGTTTAAATTCAAAAATATATATTTTATAATAATAAAGTAAAAGTTAAAACAGAGAAATGAACCAAAAAATGAAACATAAGGCCAAAAAAAAAAAAATGTTTTTTGTGGTTTCCTTTCATTCAAAGAGAAGGTATTAATTACAATAAAGAAAGAAAGAAAGAAAGAAAGAAAGAGGTCAATGAATAACACGTGGATATAACACGAAATTGAGCAATAATTGAAATTTAAAACTGAAAAAAAAAAAGACATGGGTACGGGAAAGAAGGGGTAGAAAGAGGAAAGAAGTCGAAAAGGAAATTCAAGTTCTAAGAGAAGGAAAAGAAGAAATCAAAGGAAAGAAGAAGAGAGAAAGAGGTAAATAAAAGTTGCCCGTGTCTGTCTGCTAGTGTTAGATGCGTTTAGCAATGTGTGCATGTAGGAAGCAAAGAAGAACACATCAGTTTATATAGTGGCGGCTACAAGTGAATCGAACCATCATCATCAGTTACAGGTCTCAGACTAGAGCAGCTGCTGCAAATGAGGATAGATAGATAGATAGATAGATAGATAGATAGATAGATAGATAGATAGATAGATGGATGGATGAAGGATAAGAAACACATAAAAACTAAGAGTTAAAAAAAGGGGAGAAGTGAATGATGACAATGCATGTTTGTTTTCTAAAATAAAATGGAACTTCAGGAGTCGCCTCGTCGTAGAGTAGTGCTTCTTGCATGTTAGTCTCTCAGAGATTGCTGATGAGTGTGAGTTCGATCCTCACTGTATACCCGACACTTGTAGCCCTATGCGAGACGAAGCTGAAAACTTCGGCTAATAAAGATAGTAGAAGAGGTCTTCATTTAAATAAATAAACGATAAGTTCTTGGATTTTCTCTTGAGTGATATTATTAAGTTTTTTAACCCACGCATAACCAATCATTTGACAAAGTCGGTTACTGCTTCTGAAAATTCAATCTTTTATTCCATGTGCGATAGACACTTTCACCCCCATCTGTGTTAAAAGGAGGAAGAAGCTCATATCGAGATATTATCGAAAAAAAAAAAAAAAAGAATTATTTTAAAATAAATATTCTACGTACGACAAATCTTCATACTTTTTTTTTTTTTTTTTTTTTTTTCTACTCACTTTTTCCCTGGTTTCTCACTGGGAAGAGAGAAAAATCAATTTGATCAAACAAAAGTCAAGATGACTGTAGTCGCCAGACTTGTACTGTATCAGTCAGTAATTCATCTTCAGTCATTCGTTAGTAAACATTTTTATTGAGTAAAGAAATAGTCATTCACCACTAATTGTAATTAGTAATAATAATTAATAAATAGAAACAACGTTGAATCACGTTGTCATACTTTTTTGCTGCCTCTAGTCTAAACAACAAATACTGAATAAATAAATAAATAAATAAAAGTGAATGAATAGAAAAAATTCATTCAAAGAAGGAAGCTGAGATGCAAATCACGATTCTACACAGAATAAGAATTTTAAACTTCTGAGCTGTAGACAACAGTCTCTTTCTCTTTGCTAGGGACACTTATATTTTTCAGTATTACTTGATTATTGTAAATATGTTGTGTAAATCAATAATAATAATAATTTCAAAACAGAATGACGACATTGCCATGTGAGTACCACAACTTGTACTTTGTTAAACCTAAAATAATTGGCATCGCGAATAAAAAAAAAAAAAAGCCGGTTTAAAGGTCTCTCTCTAGCTTTAAGGTTCCTGGCAAACAAGATCTTCAAGAGCAGAATCGAAAGTAAGAAAAGAAAACTGAACCTTGACAGTGAGAGAGGTGAAATTTTTACAACTATTTCGAAAATGAAAAGTAAGAATTTGAATTAAAAAAAAGAAAAAAAAGAGTAGGGGACTTTCTGGCTACAAGGGACGAATTAAAAAAGAAATATATGCAAAAATGAAAATAGGTCAAAAAATTGAGGAAATGTTTTAAAAAGAAATTGCCCCAATGATCGGATTACTACGGGGGAGGGGGATTTTAAAACATGTTGATTTTAATTCATATTTTTTTTTTTTTGCATATTTTAACCCCCAACCTCCACCTCGAAACGGGTGTAACAACATGAGTAGTGAAAATAATAGATTTGAGAATTACATAGACAGACAGACCGACCGACAAACAAATATCATATAGTTGAAGAGAATTAGATAGATAGATAGATAGATAGATAGATAGATAGATAGATAGATAGATAGATGAACAGACTATGATAGATAGATGAACAGACTGAGATAGATAAATAAATGAACAGACTGAGATAGATTGATAGACTTTTAGAGAGGGCAGACAGAAAGAAAAAGAGGGGGAAAATAGATAAAAAGAAAAGACTTAGAAAGGGAAAAAGAAAAAAGAAAGAAAAACATATACCTTGGGTGTGTGTAGTATTAAAGGCTTCAGATTGGGATGTGATGGTGTTGTCTCTCATCAGGGAAACACTCCACAACAGTTGGAAATCCCTACCGTAGCAAGAGTTATAACGTGTGTACCGTCTGCAAGTGTAATCCATAATATTACTGACTCGGGTTCTAGTGGCAGTGGCGGCAGCAGCAGCCACAAGAAGTGAAAGCAGCAGTAGTTAGAGGCTGCCACTTCAATATCGTCGTCATCATCGTCAATGACGATAATAAAAGTCGAAGAAGGGAGTACAGAGCTTCTCCTTCTCCTTCTTCTTCTTCTTCTTCTTCTTCTTCTTCCCAGATATTTTGTTGTGGTGGTGGCAATAACTACTTCTAGTAGTAGTAGTAGAAGCAAAGAAGTGTTTCTGTCAGGGAAGGCAAGAGCTTCTGTAGTTGTCGCACTGCCACTGTCTGTTAGTGCTGCCGATGGTTAAGGCACTGCTGGTCACTGTTCTGGCGAATGAAAGGGTGTTGTTACAGTTAATGCTATGGATATTTGTGACATTAGAACAAGGAATTCCCCAAGATGACACTAAATATGAAAGTACTCATCATTTGGCACACGAACAACAACGAACTTTAAAAATGGTAGAATTCTACACGGGAGATTGACAAAAATATGGAACTGAATATTACTTGAGCTTGTTTTAAAACTCAAAGACACATTTCGAAATTTATTTTTAGAAATATTTTATCTGGAAAATATTTTGAAAAACAAAACAAAACAAAAACAAAACAAAAAACTTTTAATCAGGACTGAGAATCGTTTTCAGTTTGACCTTTTATAACTGAAATTAGAAAGAATCAAACGAATTTTGTTGAGGTGGGGATCTGAAAGTTCTCAGCCCAACCAACTTTCCAAAATCTAAGCATTCATCACGGATGCTTTGCAATCCTTTTCCTGACTGAACCAAGAACTTTTCATCACTATCTTCTTCACATCTGTTCATCTACCTATCTCTCATCATCTTCCTCTCTTAATCTCTTCTATCTCATTCTCTTCATAAGTATCTTCATATCTATCTACCTAATTCTCTCTCTCTCTCTCTCTCTCTCTATGTACTCTTCATATCTATATCTCTCATTCTCTTATCTATGTATCTATCACACTCTCTTCATATCTATATCTCTCATTCTCTTATCTATGTATCTATCACACTCTCTTCATATCTATATACCTATCTATCAGATTCTCTTTATCTGTCTCACTCTCTTCAAATCTATCTAATTATTGGATTCTCTTTATATCTACCTATCTATCATTCTCTTCATCTAGTTATTGGATTCTTTTTATATCTATCTCATTCTCTTCATATATATCTAGCTATCAAATCATCTTCATATCTATCTATCTATCTATCTATCTATCTATCTATCTATCTATCTATCTATCTACCATTCTCTTCATATCTATCTATTTCCTTCTCTTCATATCTGTCTATAAGAGTCTCATTTCTATAGATCTCTGTATTTTCAAATACATCTCTCCATTCACATCTACACTAAAAAATATAGAATGTTTCTACATATTCTGTATAGGTTCTCTCTCTGCAAATTTTTTGTTTATAATTAGATTAAAATTAAATTAAAATTTGAATTTCTAAGCAATGAAAACCATTTTTGTGGTTTGTGTGGCACTAAAATTTCAGAATAAACAATACCAGTTCTCATTAAATTTTTCATTAAAAAGAAATTAGATAATAGCTTCATTATGAGATGCTCCTAAAATCACAGTAAGAATTTCTCTTTTTTATTTTTTGAAATATGTAAAACTTACAAAATATTGGCATAAACATGCCTTCTCTGTCTCAAAAAAAATAAATAACCTCTTCAATTTTCTTTAGGGTTCTTTCAAAAAAGATGTTACACTACTAATTCATTAAAAAAAAAAAGATGGCATTTTATATTGACAATTTTCTATTTACTTCATTTTCTTTGATAAGTACAAAATTTAAAAGCAATAACCTGGCAATGTTCACTGATTTTACGAGTTTTAAACACTTTTGCATATGTTCATTATTATTAATTTAATTTTTAAGCTAAATGTTGTAATATAAGCCACAAAACTCAAGTGGGTGTCTGGAAAAGCTTATCTTCATCAGTATTTGAAATTCAGTTTGTATCAGTATGGTCGAAAAAAAAGATATCTATGCCCATTTGTTCCTATCTATTTATCAATCTCAGTTTGTTACTATCTGAGATAGATAGATAGGAAGAAACTGCAATAGATAGGAACAAACTATCTCAGTTTTTTAACTATCTATCTATCTATCCATCTCAGTCTGTTCATATCTATCCATTTTAGACTTCATATCTATCCATTTCAGTTTGTTCATATCTATCTATCTATCTATCTATCTATCTATCTATCTATCTATCTATCTCATCTCTGTTATCTATCTATCTATCTCAGTCTGTTCATATCTATCTATGTCAGTCTGTTCATATCTATCTATCTATCTATCTATCTCAGTCTGTTCATATCTATCTATCTATCTATCTATCTATCTATCTATCTATCTATCTATCTCTGTTCTGTTCATCTATCTATCTATCTATCTATCTATCTATCTATCTATCTCATCTATTTATCTCTCTCAGTCTGATCATATCTATCTATCTATCTTATCTATCTATCTATCTATCTATCTATCTCATCTGTTCATATCTATCTATCTATCTCTCAGTCTGTTCATATCTATCTATCTGTCTATCTCAGTCTGTTCATATCTATCTATCTATCTATCTATCTATCTATCTATCTATCTGTCTATCTATCAGTCTGTTCATATCTATCTATCTATCTATCTATCTATCTATCTATCTATCTATCTATCTATCTATCTATCTCAGTCTGTTCATATCTATCTATCTATCTGTCTATCTCAGTCTGTTCATATCTATCTATCTATCTATCTATCTATCTATCTATCTATCTATCTATCTATCTATCTATCTCAGTCTGTTCATATCTATCACAAATCTGAACAAAGTCTGATATAGGATCATTCTTTTCATATTAGATCAAAATCATCTCTCTTGAAATTTTTTAAAATTTGTTCCTAGCATTGAAAAAATATGTCAACTAATCTGAAAACCTCTAAACTCTCCTTCACCCCCAACCCCCAAAATGACCCAAATATCAGCCATGCATTAAAAACATTTTAATGGAGAAAAAATGTGTACTTGTGCATATTATATTATTTTCCTTTCAATATAAATATATTTCTTCTTATTAATATTGCCATATATGGTCTAGTGCCCCTGCTGTTCATCTTGAGGTTCTCAACAAAATCCAAAGACGGATATGCAATGTGATAGGTCCTGACTTGGGATCTCAACTCCAGTCACTTTCCCACAGACGTGATGTGGCTTCCCTCTGTCTTTTCTACAAATATTTTCATGGCAAATGCTCTGACGAGATATTTTCACTGGTGCCCCGACTCCATGAATTTAAGCATGCTATTAGGATGGCATCTCGATCTCATCCTTTTACTGTCAAAACAGTTAAATGCAACCGCCTCTTCTACTCCAACAGCTTCTTCTCTCACACTCCCCAATAGTGGAACTTCCTTCATCTTACTTGCTTCCTTGATAACTATAATTTTCAAAAATTTAAATGTAATGTCAATCAACATCTTCTGTTGGCTTAATCCCCATTCTTCCTTTTATCCTCCTCTTTTCTTCTTTTTATCCTTTCCTTAACCTCCCACCTATAACCAGTCTTTTCCCTTACTTTTACTTTTTGTAGCCCCTTGTGTACTAGTGGTACTCTTGCCTTGCTTGGGGTGAAATGCTTATAAAAAAATATTTAATAGGTACATGTGTTTCAGTCCACATGCCCTGTTTTTTGTAAACAGTGAAATTAAATGGTTTATGAAGATGTGCCTGCTTCCTGATGGATTTAAAAAAAGGGGATACGGGTCTATCTACTCAAACAATGGACACATGAAATAGGTGTATAGTAATAAGAAATAATGTCAGATTTAAACATCCATTAATTGTGTATATATATATATATAAAAGTGAACATTAAAATCAACACTCAGAGGTGACAGGCTGTTTCATGCTAGATGCAATTGTCAGGCCACGAATGTTGGTCGTGACCTGACGATTGCATCTAGCATGAAACAAGCTGTCGCCTCTGAGTGCTGACTTCAATGTTCACTTTTATATATATATATATATATATATATATATATATATATATTGTTTATATAACATAAATAATTTTATAGATAAAAATATTTAAGTAAAGGCTCTGTTCATAATAAACAGTATTAACAACATTTACCAGCCTGAATGTCCAGACTTGCAAACCAGGCGCTTCCTCTGTAGCTAAATGGTATAGCACGTCAGGCTATATTGTGGTTCTGTGTAGGATACAGGTTTGATTCTTGTCAGAGGACACATATTTTCTTTGAGATTTCTCAGACATTCAGGCTGGTAAATATTGTTTATACTGTTTATTATAAACAGACAATTTACTTAAATATTTGTATCTATAAAAATAATGTATAAACAAAAAATATATTAAAATAATTGTCGGACTGAATCAATTTCATTATATATATATTTATATATATGTATGCATGTATGTACGAATGTGTGTGTGAGCATATATGCATATATATATACTAGCATTGTGTGGCAAATAATAGCAGTTATTCACATATAGGTTGATAGATAAGTGTAGTATCTGTGAAAGTGTTATACACATACACAAAATGTATAATTGATATAAATTTCATCATGCATGTTTTGTTGAATATGAAATATTTTGAAAGTTTGGGTTCTGTTTCTGAACACAACCAAGATACCTTGGCTCTTTTTAAAACAAGTGATGTTAAGTGGAAGTCTATTGTTTTTTGAAGTGAGAACTCCAGTAAGACTGATATTCCTCTGACTCTCAACCAACAGAATATAAGAAATGAAACAAAATAAAACGAACAATGAAAATTACTCACCCCAATGTCTAAAGTATTTACTGAATGTGTTTGGGACAATAAACACTACGGTTTCTACACATTCTTAATCATCATAAAATGGTTAGAACACAAGAAAAACTGAATAAAAAAACTTACAAAATATTCCTTGTCCATCATATACAATAAAACAAATATGAAACAAGGATTGCTGCCTATATAGATTTCATTATGTATGTATATATATATATATATATATATATATATATATATATATATATATATAATAATTAGCCACTTGAATTCGAGGATACCTGTCTACTAGGGCAGCTAGTCAGTCCCTATTTCAGACCAATTGATCATCAATTTGAACAAGGCCAGCATGCTCAAGCCCTCGACCATGATGACTTATGGCTTCATGCTAGCACAGCTACCGATGACCCACAAGAGTTTCGTCTACCCAATTTCACTCACAAGGCTTGGGTCAACCTGTGGAATGGTCTTCAGGCACTTTCCAAAGGTGCCGCACACTGGGATAGACCTTGATCCAGTCTGGTAACATCAAGAAGTCTTTATCCTGACAAAGTGACCATGGTGAGATTTGAACCTGAAGCAAACGTTCTAACCACTTGGCCACACACCCATATATATATATATATATATATATATATATATATATATATATATATATATATATATATATATATATATAGTCTCTTCAGATTGGCACCCAAACACTCTGAAATGTTCATATTGGAGCTTCTGGCACCAATGCCAAGCAGCACAGCATGCCATTGCCAAATTTCTGGTGGAGTGAATTGCATCATGGTTCTCTTTTTCTCCTAGACAGTGCCCAACTGACTCTACTACACTCTGCAGTTGACAAAATCAAAAACAAACAACATGCTCGCTCAAAATTAAAAATATAAAATGGCGACAGTTTAACCATTGCACCCTGTATAATGTGAAATTGATATTATTAATATTTACCAATGAATTAAGTGCATTGACAATGGAGGAGAATATGCTGGAAAATGCTTATTATGTAAAAATATTTTTTTTATCATTGTACTACAAGTATATTGACTTATCTGAAAAAATTATCAATTATGCCACATTCATTCAAGATGTGGGAGATCATAGCTCACCACAAATCCCTCTCCTTTGCAGCTTTTAGTAATACTTGTCTGTTTACTATCCTTCCCACTCCCCATTTAGATGACCATTAACATAAGCACATCAGGTGGGTGGCCCATTGCCTCCTCCCCACAAGTTCTTATTATTTTTACTAATTTTACCTATACAGCTGATGTTCTGACTACATTTAGTAACTGCTATTTTTTTTGTATTCTATAGTTATCATGCTTTTCTTAGACTGGAACAAGGCCACAAGCTGATGAGCATTCTTGGCATTCCTAACTGACCAGGCTTGCCATTGAGATCAGTGATAAAACAAGATTAAGTGCTTTAACAGTGATGGTCAACTACAGATATATTCTAAACTTAGCTAAATCTGCCAAATGGCCACACAAATTGAGGGCTAAATTTACTTCCCAAGCCAGTAACTTGCAGAAGGGTTGGGACAGAGGGTGCGACAATCCCGAGCATCCATATCAGTAGGGCATCTAATCAAAAAGTGAAATAAAAATTTAGTTTATATTTAATTTGAATAAAGTGTTTATTTCATGTTTCATCTGTTTTTACATATTTAAAATGTTTTCCTTTCTTACATTTCTCAGTTCAATGGGCTATAGGCCCCACTTACCTGAGTCTTAGGGGCATACAATCAAGGAATTGGCCCTGGGTATTAACCAGACATCATCAAACCTCTGCATGTCTCACTGTCCCAAGCTGCATTGTATTAGACTCAGTCCACTTTTTATTATTTCTTGTTATTTCTTTGGTTCTTAAATCTTTTTTAATTGAAGAAACTGAAGTTGTATTTGCAGAAAAAGAAACTTTTGACATTCTGCAGCCAGCATTCCTTTTTTTTCTTTCTTTTTTTAAAAAAAAAAAAAAACGAACACAATTGAGAAATAATACAATTAAATAAAATCTGGGATATTTGGTTTATTTTCAACCACCATTGAATAAGACATCTTTTCAACTACAGAACACATGTAATGGTGGTGCAACCGATAATAAGAAAAAAAATCTAAATGATGAAACAACATATGATGTGTTTGTGATAAATAAGAGTTTTTATTTTCCTGTAATTTATAAGCTTTGATCACTTGTTTTTTTCTGGGGTATCATATATCAGTCTGGGAGACTGAGAATTAATTTGGGTATAATCCAAGTTAGTAGTCAAGATAGACATGTGGGAGAAAATCAACACACATATGTAGTCAAGTGAGATAAACATGTGGGAGAAATATGCAAATTATTGCATTGTAGTAGTCAAGAATTAAGAATTAGAATGGTGTCACTGCTAGTGGCCTGGTTAGGTTTGCTTTCCATTACGTCCATCCCTAATGTCGGCCTAGTATTATCTGTTCTCATAGGTGAAACCAGCATTGGCTTTATAGTCAGCCAGTGACTCAGAAATGGCTGATGTGAAAACCGTGCAAGCCATTTCTGATTGTACAGAAAGATGTTTTATGACACTGGTATTATTGGAGCAGTATTCCAGAAGTGGGTGCATGGTGCTGGATAAAATTAAGTCTGTTTTTGTCTTATGAGCTGTGGATATCGAAGTGAGCACTTCTGTTTGAGTTAAAAAATTGCAGTTACATACCAAGTACATCACACTATTTTTTCCATGTAGTTATTGCCATTGGCTCTGCATTTACAATAGCAATGAACAAGAGTGGGTACTTGTAAAAATCTGCATGAATGAATTATGCCATATTGTGGCCCACCTATTTTACACATTCACAAATATATAGGAGTGCCTCATATTTACTTAAACTGAAATTATAACAGATACAGAGAGCACAATAACATTGTTGAATAGAGTAAATTTTCAGCTAAAAAACACAATTTTCCCACATAGTCACTACTATTAACTATAAATCTCATCATTTTGTGAGTTGACTGCTCTGTAAGGTTGACCTAATATTTAACTTACAGTGCCTA